TGTCCGTTTTCTCGTCCGCCGGACTAGTAGATGGAACGGCTGTGGTGACGACTGCGCCTTCGTCGGAACCAGGTTGAGGGGTGACTGAGTGTGCATCCGCCATGGACTCGCTCATGTCTGGATCATTGTTTAGCCCGGGTTCACGTCTGCTCATTTATTTACTGAGCTGCGCTCGAAGGGCTTGGTAGGCAGCGGGAAGAGCCACACAACGGTTGATGGAGGTTGTCCCCGTGTGCCAAGCCTCGATTGTTTCCCTGGCTATGCGGTCGCTTCCTCGGCCCAGAAGTTTGACATGCTGAAAGGCCAACGTGTGTCCGGAATCGGCGCAGTGTTCGGCCACCAGAGACAAAGGGTCCATTCGCCTTACTGCTCTCATGTGTTCTCCAACACGGGTCTGTAGTCGTTTGCCCGTCTCGCCAATGTAGTTGGCTTCACAGGAGTTACACTGGATCCGGTAGGTGATGTTCGTGGTTTCACCTGGTGGCAGAAGGGCCTTAGGTTTCATGACCAGATGTTGAATTGTTGACTCCGGTCAGTGGACGATGCCGATCCCCAGCGGTCTTAAGAGACGGGAGACCGCCTCAGAAACGCCATCGATGTATGGAAGCGCCCGCCATATTTTTGGCCATTCTGTTTCCAAACGTCGGCTCGGTCCGGCCTGTCTGCTGCGTTCGATGAAGTTGCGCGGATACCCGTTGGACATGAAGAGGCGCTGGAGGTAGCGTAGTTCTGACCTTCTGTTGTCCGGCTCGCTGCAGTGTGTTTCTGCCCTTCTGTAGAGTGTTCGCACACAATTGCGTTTGTGGCACAACGGGTGCTTACTGTGGAAGCTCAGGATTTGGCGCGTATTAGTGGCCTTCCTATATGCCGTCGTTTTTAAGTGCCCATTTGGTTTTCGATGGACGAGAACGTCCAGGAACGGCAGTTGGTTGTTGGCTTCCGCCTCCATTGTGAACTGGATGTCGGGGAAAACAGAGTTCAGGACGTCATTGAATTCTTGGACGTCTTGCCGCTTAATGATAACGAAGGTATCATCGACATATCGAGTCCAAAATTTCGGCTTATAGGCTGCGAAAACTAGGGTCTCTACTTTTTGGAGAACTGCCTCTGCGATGAAGCGCGAGAGCGGCGATCCCATTGGCGTCCCCTTGACCTGCTCGTAGGTCGTACCTTCGAAGGTAAAGAACGTCTTCAGGCAGAATCGCAGCAATTGGACGAGATGTCTCCGTTTTATCGTCACGCCCGTCTCGTCGTACTGACTCTCGAGCAGCTCGCTGACCGTTTCGACTGTCAGGTCTTGCGGAATCGAAGTGAAAAGAGAAGTGACGTCGAATGACACCATGACCTCGTCTTCGGTAAGTCTCATCCCTTTGATCCGCTCCAGGAACTGAGTCGCTGAACAGACCGTCGTGCCCGCGTTCGAGGTGAGAGACCTCAGGTTTCGGAACATCCATTTAGCCAAATTGAATGTAGGTGCGCCGCGCAATGATACGATTGGCCGGAGGGGCACCCCGGCTTTGTGTACCTTTGGCAGTCCATCTACTAGTCCGGCGGACGAGAAAACGGACAGTCGTTGCGGCGTAAACAAGATTGCCAGCCATGGACGACAGTTAAGGTCAATGAAGGTACGGACGACGACCACCAACGTCTCAACGCCGGTCCCCGATGTAGATTGAGTACTTCCCGTCACCCTCCCTCCCCCCCCCGTCCGCCACAGTCCCTGTGTGCAAACGCTGGTGACCACTAAAGCTGATCCACCGCCTCCCCCCTTCATCCGGCGAGAAGACGCTCTAGGACTCCCTCCCCGCCCCTTCCTCCCTGCCGCCCTGACTTCGTATGTAAGAAAAAAAACCCATCTTGACATGACTTTCACCCACCTATAAATACTGTGAGGCGCGATACCACACTCACCTCCGACGATGGAAGCTTGTATGCTTTTGAAACGTCAGGACAGTAAAACTATGGTTCCCGAGATCGCCTTTTCTTCTGATTTATGTCCGGGGACGCGCATCTTTGCTTCCATTAGCAATATATATGTACATGTATATATGTAGCTAAGGTGCTACCGACAAAGACAAGGAGACCTGAATGGCCATTTCTGTCTTATTAGGCGTATTCAGCCAGGTATACCCAACCCCAAGGGTGGATCACTTGAGATTCGAACCCGGGATCTTTGGACATGGAGTTTGACGCTCTACCATTGAGCCACGGGCCCATTGTTCTGTCGGTTGTGATTGGGAATATCAATTATGACAGATGGGCTATCATCGATCAGGTTAACGAGCATGCTCTTTCTGTTGTGCCTTGGGGCTCATACTTAAACCCTCGCAGGCAATCACACATCGAATAGTGATATATGTAGGTACGGTGGTGCGACTGCCTGCGAGGGTTTAGGTTTGTGCCCCAAGGCACAACAGAACGAGCATGTTCTGTTACCTGGTCGGTGAGCGCCCATCTGTCATAATTCATATTCCCGATCACAACCGACAGGACAATAGGCCCGTGGCTCAATGGTAGAGCGTCAAACTCCGTGACCAAAGATCCACGGTTCGAATCTCAAGTGATCCACACTTGGGGATGGGTATGACTGGCTAATGCCGGCTAATAAGCCAGAAATGGCCATTCAGGTCTCCCTTGTCTTTGTCGGTACCACCTGATTTACATATATATATATATATATATATATATATATATATATATATATCAATCAGGAATGGGCGCACACCGATCTATTGGCTTCACAAAGCAAACAAGCTCCGTATGTGTGGCAAAGGTCACGAACAGGCAACCAATTACCAGGCCGA